TCCTCCTCCCTCCCTTCCTCCCTCCCCACTCTCCTTCCTTCCCGCCACTATCCGGCTGGGCTAGGGTGTCAGGCATCTCGTTAGAGCACCATGATTTATAGTGATCTGTTGGCAGCCGTGGCAAATCTAAAGCTCGGCCCGGGATCGGTGGACAGACAGACATCAGTAGGCTTGCTTGCCGGCGTGCAACTTCAAGTAGTGGTACAGAACAGAACAGAACAACCAGGGCTGGCCCAGCCGCGCTCTCTCGCCTCTAGCTCTTGTCTCGTCTGGCCGCAGCAGACGCGAGCTGCGCCGCTTGATGTGTTTGTTACACTTGCACCAAGAGTGAGAGAGAAGTTTGCTGCCACGCGGGCTTGAGATTATTCACAGGAATTTTTTTTGTTTGTTTCGTTGCAAAAATCCACTATAGTTATTATTCTGTGTTTTCAACTTTTTGAGGCGCATGATTTGTCTCCATCCCTGCCTCTATTTCGGAGAGATTTTATAAAAGGTTTTTGCTTCAGAGCAAGTGTTTTCCCTCAAGGATCTGAAAATGTGAGTTGACAAGATATTTGAATCTCCCCTTTGCTTGCGACAGATATATAATTATATTATCTCTTTGTTGCCTTTTGTTATGTTGCACGATCAGCGAGACATTTTCCTTTTTCGACCTTGTGCGTGTTTTTGGGTGTTTTTTGGTGTGTTTTTTTCGGCACGCTTGTTTGTTAAAAATTCAGATACTCGTACGCCACTCGTAAAGTAACGCTAAGGCTTTCTTATGTAATGTTCTTATTGGCCTTTTGAAGAGCACTTTGGCTCGGGATTTTCTTTCGCCTTTTGGATTAGGCTATTATGGTTCAACATTCAACACCTGGCTATATACGAGTTTACTACTGTTGTTTCGCAAGTTTTTTCTTCTTTTTTTTTAAAAGGATAGATTCCTTATGCGTTAACCTGAGCTAGATCTAGATCTAGATAATATTTGAAGTAGATATCAACGTAGCGTAATATTCTGAGCTTGTCAAGGGATACGATGCATTACTTCATCCGTTGTCATTGGTCCTTTGGGGCCGGTGACATATTCTCGTCGGGAATGTTTATCCAGTGTTCAGTCAATGTCTCACGTCTCGCTCTATGGTGGAGCCTCTACCGCGCGCTTCTGTGGCACACGCGACGGAGTCATCTTTGGAACAGGGAGCAGCGTGATTCCTCTCGATTGTTGAATGGTCGTGCCCGTAAATGGGTAGAGTGGGTGGTTGGAGGGCGCCCCTGGTAGCTCTTACTTCTTCATTTTCCCACTGTTGTTTCTGTCTGTCTTACTTTTTTCCCAGCACTAAATGACCATCATTGTGTCAATGTGCTTTTCTTGGAGGAATTTCCGTAACGAGCGACCACCCCAACAAACACAATAAAGAACAGACATATAACCCTAACCCTAACCCTTATCCTAACCCGAACCTCACCCCTATCCCTAGCCCTCTATTCTATTCTGTCTCTTAATGGTCGCTCGTTACGGAACTCCTCCCCTTCTCTTTACTCAAACAAATGGGTAGAAAAAGTCAACTTAAGCCCTCTAATCGGAACTTACTTGACCTGCTACGTTTATCCTGGGTCTTCACCCTCTTTGAGGTCACATGATGAGTTTCTGTGACGTCATCCGAGATAAACGCTTATTAACGTATTTTAAGAATGGTGGGCTCTCATGGATTTTTACGCCCCGTTTACCTCAGTCATTCTTTTCTTATTCACACGAGTTAGTCTCATTTAGACAGAGTTTAAGCCAGGGACTTCTTTAGGTGGTACCCCCAGAGGTGATTTAAGCTGCTTCGAGGGTGAGTGCAATTAGATGGGAAGCTTGATAAAAACATCAGGTGTCTGGTGGAGACTGAAGAAAAACTCGCCGAAAAGAGGTTGAGCATAGAATCTAGTTGGTGAAAAAGTTGAAGAAGGAAAATGGACTACCACCATCATCAACAACTCAGCACGACGTGTTTTTGCTCTCGATGATGAGTTAGGCTCGTGGTCCGTCCTGAAGGGAAGGCAAATATTTGTCAGTGAAGGGGCTCATGTCTTGGCTCTCCGGCTCAATGTGTTCTGACAGAGATGTGATTCTCCGCCTTGACAGCTGCCACATGCGGTACGGGGAGTAGCGGCCGGCCTATCACAGAATGCTTACAGTGAGGCAGCGTGGTGGAATCAGGCTCTCGTCAATTTTTGGGCATGTACGTAGAGTTATTGGTATTATCTCAAAGCTTGTTCACTTGTCTTTATTTGGATGAAAGAAATATCCATTTGTCTTGAATACAAGTCAAGATATTTGCGAAAGAAGGAGGT